AGGCCCCCTTCCCCTCTCATACGCCCTTGTCCCTCATACCCGTATGTCCTTCCTCCCACTACAGTCCCCTTCCTCTCTCATACCCCCATGTCCCCATACCCGTATGTCAGTCCTCCCACTGCAGTTTCCTTGCCTCTCACACCTCCATATCCCCCATACCCGTATGTGCGTCCTCCCACTACAGTCCCCTTCCCCTTTCATACTTCCATGTATCCCATACCTGTATATCCGTCCTCCCACTGCAGTCCCCTTCCTCTCTCATACATCCATGTCCCCATACCCGTATGTCCGTCGTCCCACTACAGTCCCCTTCCCCTCTCATACTTCCATGTCTCCCATACCTGTATATCCGTCCTCCCACTGCAGTCCCCTTCTTCTCTCATACATCCATGTCCCCATACCTGTATGTCAGTCTTCGCACTGCAGTCCACTTGTCTCTCATACCTCCATATCCCCCATACCAGTAGGTGCGTCCTTCCACTACAGTCCCCTTCCCCTCTCATACATTCATGTCCCCCATACCCATATGTCAGTCTTCGCACTGCAGTCCTCTTCCCCTCTCATACCTCCAGTCCCCATACCTGTATATCCGTCCTCCCACTGCAGTCCCCTTCCTCTCTCATACTTCCATGTATCCCATACCCGTATGTCAGTCTTTTCACTGCAGTCCCCTTCCCCTCCCATACCTCCAGTCCCCATACTCGTATGTCCGTCCACCCACTGCAGTCCCCTTTCCCGCTCATACCTCCATATCCCCCATACCCGTATGTCCGTCCTTCGACTACAGTCCCCTTCACATCTCATACCTCCATGTCCCCCACACCCATATGTCAGTGCACTCACTACAGTTCGCTTCCCCTCTCATGCCTCCATGTCTCCCATACCCGTATGTCCGTCCTCCAACTACAGCCTCCTTCCCCTCTCATACCTCAATGTCCCCCATACATGTATGTCAGTCCTCCCACTAAAGTATCCTTCCCCTTTCATACCTCCCTGTCCCCCATAGCCGTATGTCAGTCCTTCCACTAGTCCCTTTCTCCTCTCATACCTCCCTGTCACACATACCTGGATGTCCTTTCTTCCACTAAGGCCCCCTTCCCCTCTCATACGCCCTTGTCCCTCATACCCGTATGTCCTTCCTCCCACTACAGTCCCCTTCCTCTCTCATACCCCCATGTCCCCATACCCGTATGTCAGTCCTCCCACTGCAGTTTCCTTGCCTCTCACACCTCCATATCCCCCATACCCGTATGTGCGTCCTCCCACTACAGTCCCCTTCCCCTTTCATACTTCCATGTATCCCATACCTGTATATCCGTCCTCCCACTGCAGTCCCCTTCCTCTCTCATACATCCATGTCCCCATACCCGTATGTCCGTCGTCCCACTACAGTCCCCTTCCCCTCTCATACTTCCATGTCTCCCATACCTGTATATCCGTCCTCCCACTGCAGTCCCCTTCTTCTCTCATACATCCATGTCCCCATACCCGTATGTCCGTCCTCCCACTACAGTCCCCTTCCCCTCTCATACCTCCCTGTCCCCCATACCCGTATGTCAGTCCTCCCACTACAGTCCCCTTCCCCTCTCATACCTCCCTGTCCCCCATACCCGTATGTGCGTCCTCCCACTACAGTTCCCTTCCCCTCTCATACCCCCATGTCCCCCATACCCGTATGTCAGTCCTCCCACTACAGTCCACTTGTCTCTCATACCTCCATATCCCCCATACCGGTATGTGCGTCTTTCCACTACAGTCCCCTTCCCCTCTCATACATCCATGTCCCCCATACCCATATGTCAGTCTTCGCACTGCAGTCCCCTTCCCCTCTCATACCTCAAGTCCCCATACCTGTATATCCGTCCTCCCACTGCAGCCCCCTTCCTCTCTCATACTTCCATGTATCCCATACCCGTATGTCAGTCTTTGCACTGCAGTCCCCTTCCCCTCCCATACCTCCAGTCCCCATACTCGTATGTCCGTCCACCCACTGCAGTCCCCTTTCCCGCTCATACCTCCATATCCCCCATACCCATACCCGTATGTCCTTCCTTCGACTACAGTCCCCTTCACATCTCATACCTCCATGTCCCCCACACCCATATGTCAGTGCACTCACTACAGTTCGCTTCCCCTCTCATGCCTCCATGTCTCCCATACCCGTATGTGCGTCCTCCCACTACAGTCCCCTTCCCCTTTCATACTTCCATGTATCCCATACCTGTATATCCGTCCTCCCACTGCAGTCCCCTTCCTCTCTCATACATCCATGTCCCCATACCCGTATGTCCGTCGTCCCACTACAGTCCCCTTCCCCTCTCATACTTCCATGTCCCCCATACCCATATGTCAGTCTTCGCACTGCAGTCCCCTTCCCCTCTCATACCTCCAGTCCCCATACCTGTATATCCGTCCTCCCACTGCAGTCCCCTTCCTCTCTCATACTTCCATGTATCCCATACCCGTATGTCAGTCTTTTCACTGCAGTCCCCTTCCCCTCCCATACCTCCAGCCCCCATACTCGTATGTCCGTCCACCCACTGCAGTCCCCTTTCCCGCTCATACCTCCATATCCCCCATACCCGTATGTCCGTCCTTCGACTACAGTCCCCTTCACATCTCATACCTCCATGTCCCCCACACCCATATGTCAGTGCACTCACTACAGTTCGCTTCCCCTCTCATGCCTCCATGTCTCCCATACCCGTATGTCCGTCCTCCAACTACAGCCTCCTTCCCCTCTCGTACCTCAATGTCCCCCATACATGTATGTCAGTCCTCCCACTAAAGTATCCTTCCCCTTTCATACCTCCCTGTCCCCCATACCCGTATGTCAGTCCTTCCACTAGTCCCTTTCTCCTCTCATACCTCCCTGTCACACATACCTGGATGTCCTTTCTTCCACTAAGGCCCCCTTCCCCTCTCATACGCCCTTGTCCCTCATACCCGTATGTCCTTCCTCCCACTACAGTCCCCTTCCTCTCTCATACCCCCATGTCCCCATACCCGTATGTCAGTCCTCCCACTGCAGTTTCCTTGCCTCTCACACCTCCATATCCCACATACCCGTATGTGCGTCCTCCCACTACAGTCCCCTTCCCCTTTCATACTTCCATGTATCCCATACCTGTATATCCGTCCTCCCACTGCAGTCCCCTTCCTCTCTCATACATCCATGTCCCCATACCCGTATGTCCGTCGTCCCACTACAGTCCCCTTCCCCTCTCATACTTCCATGTCTCCCATACCTGTATATCCGTCCTCCCACTGCAGTCCCCTTCTTCTCTCATACATCCATGTCCCCATACCCGTATGTCCGTCCTCCCACTACAGTCCCCTTCCCCTCTCATACCTCCCTGTCCCCCGTACCCGTATGTCAGTCCTCCCACTACAGTCCCCTTCCCCTCTCATACCTCCCTGTCCCCCATACCCGTATGTGCGTCCTCCCACTACAGTTCCCTTCCCCTCTCATACCCCCATGTCCCCCATACCCGTATGTCAGTCCTCCCACTACAGTCCACTTGTCTCTCATACCTCCATATCCCCCATACCGGTATGTGCGTCTTTCCACTACAGTCCCCTTCCCCTCTCATACATCCATGTCCCCCATACCCATATGTCAGTCTTCGCACTGCAGTCCCCTTCCCCTCTCATACCTCAAGTCCCCATACCTGTATATCCGTCCTCCCACTGCAGCCCCCTTCCTCTCTCATACTTCCATGTATCCCATACCCGTATGTCAGTCTTTGCACTGCAGTCCCCTTCCCCTCCCATACCTCCAGCCCCCATACTCGTATGTCCGTCCACCCACTGCAGTCCCCTTTCCCGCTCATACCTCCATATCCCCCATACCCATACCCGTATGTCCGTCCTTCGACTACAGTCCCCTTCACATCTCATACCTCCATGTCCCCCACACCCATATGTCAGTGCACTCACTACAGTTCGCTTCCCCTCTCATGCCTCCATGTCTCCCATACCCATATGTCCGTCCTCCAACTACAGCCTCCTTCCCCTCTCATACCTCATTGTCCCCCATACATGTATGTCAGTCCTCCCACTAAAGTATCCTTCCCCTTTCATACCTCCCTGTCCCCCATACCCGTATGTCAGTCCTTCCACTAGTCCCTTTCTCCTCTCATACCTCCCTGTCACACATACCTGGATGTCCTTCCTCCCACTACAGTCCCCTTCCTCTCTCATACCCCCATGTCCCCATACCCGTATGTCAGTCCTCCCACTGCAGTTTCCTTGCCTCTCATACCTCCATATGCCCCATACCCGTATGTGCGTCCTCTCACTACAGTTTCTTCCCCTCTCATACCTCCATGTCCCCCATGATAGTTAACTTTTCGGCATAATAAATTCGTTATGGTGTCTTTAGTTGCCGTATATGGTGTCACATTAGGTTAGCAGTTAGAAATTTTTTTCTGCTAATCTAATACGACACGACATATAGTAGTGGTATATGGCTACTAAAGACACAAAACTAATAATATCTCCCGTGTCGTTGCCTCCGACCTCCACATATAGCTTCCATCCTCTGTCATACCCCTATGTTGCCTTCTGCCACCTGCCCTTGCCAACGGTAATTTAAGGAAAGAAAAAGTTAAAGTGTAACCTATGCAAATCTTTCAAAATCGTTATTAATATTACTCCTTTTATATTTCTGTATAGCAGCAATTCTTGTAAACAAGAACCTATACTAAACCTGAAACAAACAATTACATTATAACCAGGAACAATGACAATGGAGTTTATTTAACATAGAATACGACGGCACCTTATCATTATAAACGGTCATCAAGTCATTTGGTGAGTCATTCAAGCGCTAATAAAATCCTCTTTCAGGAAGGGTAACTCTATTTACCTATTAAACTCTATCAGAGTAGTTTCCCTTAGCATGATCTTCGCATTTCATAACTTGTACAGCTCCAATCTAAACAGGTGACTTACCCAATGTTGATGTGTATATTTCAAAATGTAAAGGCAGACGGAAGTGCCAAGTGATGCATAAAGTCGACGCATGCGTGAACTTGCCTTCAGTAGCGGCGTCATGACAACTGCTAGGCCTTCCTGTGTGTCAGCCATTTTGAGAGATATCACTGGAAGTGTTCGCAGTTTTATCGTGCAAAATACAGGCTTTAAAAGTGTGTACGACTTGAAGAGGTGGAGAAAACTATGAATCCTACTAGGAAAGGTATGTGTAATTGGCCTTTTTACCAGTGATAAAGCTGGATAAAGCTGTTTTAATATGTTTAAATGCATAAAATAGACGCTGATATTTCTATACTCCAATTTCAATTGTCATTGTCTGTATGTGGGACTTAATATTATGGAGTTGCACAATAACTGTAGGTTGTTATTTCTAACCAGAACATTTGAGTTGTACTAAATGTACCCGGTGTGAAAACTTAACATGATACACCCCATAATCGACTGAGGGGAAAGGGAAATTGTAGGATTCCTGCAGACACGTTTTCAAGACACATAGAATTAATGAATTTTGTCCTTTATAAAAAAAAGAATAGCCTTGATCAGAACTTCAACCTTTATTAAACACCACTTTGAGCATTTTATAAATGTATACTGCTGTTCAGTACTATCATACTGATAAATTGCTTGGTGGTAGTTCCTGTGACCCACTTGCCGCCCGGGCTGCCAACAGTGGTGATGGGAGATGGGACCAGATGTCTGGTAGACAACAACACTATCTGGATACCAGCTGGTAATCCTGTTAACCTCTCCCTGGGTCCTGGTTACCTACAGCCAAGACTCCTGCAGCCTGGAGTTCAGCCATCTGTGACTGGTATCCCCCTGCCTCCTGCAGTCCAGGCACCAACTTGCAGTAGACGTAGGGAGATGATACCTGTCTGCCAGCTGCCTGTCAGCCTGCCCAGTTCAGAGATGGACCTACAGCTGATGAGACCAGAGGTATTATCATATTTATGCTAATACATGTACCAGAATGTAACACAAAAAGTATGATTTTGTTTTTTAATCAATAAAGAATCAAAATGAGACTTTGACTGTATCACCCATCAGGCCTTCTCCTGTGTTCTTCCCCAACTTGACCAACCCAGTCCAGTTCCTGATTCCCAGTCTGCCCTTGTTGAATCTCCAGCCATATCTTCAACAAGGAACCCCAAACCAAATTCCAAGACCCCTATCCAGCTGAATAGAAAACCTGAGCTCAAGCCCTGCAAACGCAAGCCCCGCACTTTCAGGCCAAAACCTCAGCCAAAGCCTCGCATTCCCAAGGAGAAAGTGGGCAAGCATCAGCCTGAGAGCAAGCCCTTCTTTGTGCCTCAGCCTCTTGGAGCTCGGCACATGAAACCCCAGAGCAAACCCCTGGTGAACCGTATCACTAAGCCCTCTGGTAGTCATGGTATCATTAAGACCTCATCTAAGCTTAGTTTTGGTGAACAGTTGTTGTCTGCTGATCGTGCTTACATAAAGCCAAAGTCAGTCTTGCCCAGTACAGGATGCAAGACCTTCCCTATCCCTGTTAAGAATGTTAAGGATAAGGTTGTTTCAACATCGGAGAGTGCTAAGTCAGGTGGTTTCACTGCTGCAACAGTAAGTGTAAATCCTGACAAGGCAATGGACAGAGCTGAGCCTAACTCCGATGATGAATATGATGTGGAATATCTGTATCTTACTAAACTGATTTTAAGGAAAAAGAAGAAACCCACTGCTGAGCCCAGTAAGGAGTCCCTGCCCTCACGCAAGAGGAAGTGCCCAGATGACAACAGCGAGGTGTCCCAAGCTGAAAAGCAGGCAAGACTGGAGGAGCCCCAGGACACTCTGGAGGACCTGGAAGCTCTCCTGGCTGAGTACAGCTCCAGTCTCTCGTCTGGCACCAGGGATTTCTTCTAAACACTGTAAGGGGCAGGGGACAGGTAGGTATAGATAAGTGTGTAGTATATAGGTTAATAATCGTACATGGTGATCTTTCTCTAATCCTTTCATTGTGCAGTTCAACTTCAACACAGTGAACTCGTGTTTTGACCATCAGCTACCGTTTCTGTTTTATCTACAATCTACCGAATCTAGTGCTTTTATCTGTGTCTGGCCATTTTCACGTCTATGGTGCTCTACCCCTTATATCTATATTCCTACTTTGCATTTATGTCCTACAGTACCCTACTCTGTTGTTAACTAATCTAAATGTTGTATGTCGTCTTCTACTCTACTCTACCCTAGCCTGTACTGTTGTACTCTACCATACTCTGTACTGTTCTGTTCTACCCTCCCCTTTATTGTCCTACTCTACCCTCCCCTGTAATGACCTACTCTACCCTTCTCTGTACTGTCCTACTCTACCCTCCCCTGTACTCTCCTTCCCTACCCTACTATCCTCCTATGTACTATGCTACCCTGTACTCTACTATTCTGTAGTGTCCTACTCTTTACTTTGCAGTATTGTACTGTCCTACTCTATTGTTCTACTCTGTACTGTCCTACCCTACCCTACAATATACTGTCCTACCTTACCCTATTGTGTTCTGTCCTACTTTACCCTACTTTGTACTGTCCTACTCTAGCCTACTCTGTATTGTCCTACCCTGTCATGTCCACAAAGGGTTGCATACAGGTAAATGACTTGGACCTAAGAATGTAATAAGTCAATGGCAAAAGTCAATAAGTCAAATAAACAAAGATGGCGGATGCAGTATAATTTCGAAGTTTAATCTGTACTTTAAAAAAGGGAGCAAATAATGCCATAAACATCACCCCTCATCCCCCAGACACAAGGACAACTGTCACAAGCATGCAATGTCTCTGACCCTTTCCCCATGTTGAAGCATATTGAAAAAAATTACCTTGTACATACTTACCTTTTGTTGAAATAAACAAAACAACATAAGACATTAATACAACGTATATCCCTGTGTTATGGGTTTTCGAACGCTGTAGAAACATTCATAGTTTTCTGGCTAGTACATGAATAACTGTAAAACATCTCATTCACTTATAAAGGACATGTTTATCTTAAAAACAAGCAATCATCTGAGTATTTACAATATCTGTGGGACGCCACACCCCTCGTTATAATGCAAGTATTGTGATAGAAAATGTATAAAGGCCGAAAAGCGGCGTTACACCTATTCAGTCATTCATTCAATCCTACTTTATCCTACTCTGCACTGTCCTACCCTACCCTACTCTGTACTGTCCTACTCTAACTAACTCTGAACTGTCCTACCCTACCCTACTCTGTACTGTCCTATTCCACCCTACTCTGCACTGTCCTACCCTACCCTACTCTGTACTGTCCTACTCTAACTAACTCTGAACTGTCCTACCCTACCCTACTCTGCATTGTCCTTAGCCTACCCTAATCTGCATTGTCCTTAGCCTACCCTACTTTGTACTGTCCTACACTACCCTACTCTGTACTGTCCTATTCCACCCAACTCTGTACTGTCCTACTCTACCCTATTCTGTACTGTGCTACTCTACCCTACACTGTACTGTCCTACTCTACCCTATTCAGTACTGTCCTACTCTACCCTACTCTGTACTGTCCTACTCTACCCTACTCTGTACTGTCCTACTCTACCCTACTCTGTACTGTCCTACTCTACCCTATTCTGTACTGTCCTATTCCACCCAACTCTGTACTGTCCTACTCTACCCTATTCTGTACTGTGCTACTCTACCCTACACTGTACTGTCCTACTCTACCCTATTCTGTACTGTCCTACTCTACCCTACTCTGTACTGTCCTACTCTACCCTACTCTGTACTGTCCTACTCTACCCTACTCTGTACTGTCCTACTCTACCCTATTCTGTACTGTCCTATTCCACCCTACTCTGTACTGTCCTACTCTACCCTATTCTGTACTGTCCTACTCTACCCTACTCTGTACTGTCCTACTCTACCCTATTCTGTACTGTCCTGCTCTACCCTACTCTGTACTGTCCTACTCTATCCTACTCTGTACTGTCCTACTCTACCCTACTCTGTACTGTCCTATTCCACCCTACTCTGTACTGTCCTGCTCTACCCTATTCTGTACTGTCCTACTCTACCCCACTCTGTCTTGCCCTACCCTACTCTGCATTGTCCTTAGACTACCCTACTCTGTACTGTCCTACTCTATCCTACCCTGTACTGTCCTGCTCTACACTACTCTGCACTGTCCTACTCTGTACTATCCTACTCTACCCTACTCTGTACTATCCTACTCTACCCTACACTTTACTATCCTACTCTACCTTGCTCTACCTTATGTAGTGTCCTACGATCCACCCTTCTCTCAACTATTATACTGTCTACTATAAATCTGTTCATCTCATTGGCAACCTGACACTCCTGCATTGTCCTATCTGCTACTGTCCTGTTCCTTTCTCAACAGTCGGACTGGATATCTTTCCTTTTTCTGTCTTCTACTATCAACCATATTTCTGTTCATCTCACTACTCTCCTACTCGCTTGCGATAACAGTTTAGATGGTAGTCAAGTGGTAGTTATTTTCGAGAATTTATCATTGTGATTATGTTGAATCGTTCACTCTTTATTCGAGTAATGTAAGATATGCTAAGGAAATGTGTCACTGTACGTTTTTGTAAGTTCATGTGAAGAGTGGAAAGGGACGGCTGTGAGGGGAGGTTGGAGGCCGTTTATTTAGTATGTACTGATATACGTGTATTTATTTCAAAGTTATTAATGCGTTATTCTTAATAAAATATATTTTTTCCAGTGTAAGAAGTAGTTCTGTTGTATTTAAGAACTGAAGTTGAATTGTGTGGTTAGATGATGTGAAGGAAGAATGTGGGTAGGCCATTGCATGGTGCTCATTGAGCATCAGCTGACAGGCCCCATTCATGATATACGTCTTTGTTGTGTATTTTACTGTAGAATTACTCAACAAGGTTTTTAATGGTCATTTCCTATCAACATCATAGCTCAGAAGATTGGACACCCATAATTTCTTTGATTTCAATCATGAATGCCAAACAAACAGTGCATGATGAGAACAGTTTAGCATGAAGTGGTCAGTCAGGTCACACATTCATCTCACACAAATATTACTCGTATATCATCGTTCCTGACAATGTTTAAACTTGGAGAAGTATCGAACTTTAATTACAATCTTTCATGTCAGTTTATAAGAATCTGCAATGACGAAAATTCACAAAATATGTGTATCCAAGATGGAGTGTTCAATATTTACGTCACACATGGAATATTATGGCAAAATAAAGACACGAGACTGTGTTATGTACTCATACAAAGGAAGAGATATGCTTTAGTTTGAGTGTCAGCGTGAGAATGGATACCCCTGAGGGGAAACAAATATGGAAAGCAAATTCACGAGTGAGTGAGGAAATGGGCAAATCAATAAGCATATGCAGTGGAATATTATATCTGTATTATGGCGGCATGTGAGGTTATCCAGTCTGAACCAGTAAAACCACGAAGACACACAACCTATCAGGATTACTGATGACCCTCCATCATGCACTATTTATTGTTGTGAAACATTCCAAAGACAAGACAGGGTAAATTATTTCAACTCATTAAGGATTTGCTGAAAACCGCAATTCATGATATGCGCCCAGGCGCCTTTCAGCATGTTAAGTGTATGTTATCTTAATGACCATTACCTATCAACTTGATAGCTCAGAAGATAGGACACCTATAATTTCTTTGATTTCAATCATGAATGCCACACAAACAAAGCATGACGAGAAACGTTCAACATGAAGTTAGCAGAGGCTATACATTAAACTCACACAAATATAGCTTTGACATTTTTGTATATCACCATGCCAGACAATGTGTATTCTTGTGTTGTTGAATCTGAGATTGAGTGCATTAAATGTTTACGCCACACTGGCAAATATATCATCGGAAGACAAGAGATGACATATGATATGTCCATTGAGACGAGACGTGTTTGAATGTGAACGTGAGAATGGACACCTCTGAGGGGAGCAAACCAAATGCGGAAAGCTAATTGACGAGTGATTTAGGAAATTGGCAAATCAATAGACATATGGAGCGAATATTCTATCAATGTAGGCAATATTACATGTATTGCCTCGTGCAAGCACTTTTCAAACTCAGCAGCTGAAACCATAAGCTGATAAAACGTGCCCCACAGCTAGTCCTCCTTAAAGAACTATTCATGTACAGCCATTGTCACCAAGACCATCTCAAGACAAACATGGGTGACTGGTAAACTATTCTGATCTAGACTCATAATGTGTGTCACTCAGATCAACACTGAACGTAAGTTGATGTAACACACGTCACAGCTGGCCCTCCATGAAACACTTTTAATACTCAGCAGCCATTGTCACCAACGTGGTCTCAAGACAAATATGGGTGACAGGTAAGCTTTTCTGACCTGGACACATTAGATGGGTTACTCAGACGAGATCTGATCATACATGAATATGGTATAGCAATGATGCAAGGTTGATATCATACACTTATTCCAAGCAATACATGTTTAGGAAACCGCTTTGCTTTTTGCATTGCAAAAGTTAAAGTTCGGTTATCTTGTATTTGCCAAAGTTTTAATAGTAAGAAAATGTTATACACGGGCATATGCAATACTGTTACTTTCTGATATATAATATCAGAAACGTAATTAGATAATGACAGTTTAATGGTGCCAATATGTTTTTCTTAGTCTGACGGATAAAAAAGTAAACATTTCTAAACGCACTTCAGGGGCCCACTTCATATAGAAGCACCGGAGTTCCTATATTGGTTCAGCGGGCCAACATGGGATGTAAGCAGGCTAACACAGTTGTGCCAGGCCAATATTGCTTTTGACTGTGGTTGCATTCCTTTCACTGCAATCGTGGATCCTGTTTCTGATATAACTGTGACATTTTTTATCTTTTTTTTTCTTTATCTCTTTTACTG